TGTGTGCCTACGTGTCAGCAGAGACAAGAAAGGATTTCAATACTGATGTGTGTTTTAATGAATGAATAATAATAATAAAAAAAAAAAAAAAAAAAAAAAAACAGAACCTAAGCACAAGAGAAATATGCCGAGTTTATGATAAACATGTACTTTATGTGGCCACTGCCACTGCCTGAATATATATACATATGTGGAATAGAAGGCACCTACAACAACATGTGCTTGTACGTGAAAATATATAAATACGTTTTTAAACTTAAATGATTATTTAAGTCAAGGGATTCCCAGTTTCTTTGTATTTAAAACAATTCATTAATCATTGTAGGGGGGGGGTTTTTCATATTCAAGATTTCTGTATTGACGATTGTTGTTATTAATGTTAGCATAGTTGAATGAACTTACGGCAAAGAAAAACAATTGTCACTAAATCGGTACATTTTCATCAGATGTTAGGGTGTAAGTGAAAAGTTTTCTCAATTAATGAAAATTACGTAAGGAGATGCTTAACGTGCGTTCTGTCTAAGGCAAAAGAACTTTCATATAATAAAATTTTCATAGGATCAAATTTTGGATTGGAAATAAGCACGATTGGATGTAACTAAATCGTGTCCCAATAAGCAATAGACTTAGAAGGACGAAGCCCTTTCGTTTAAAACTCAAGAGGATGTATGCAACAACCAGAAGAATTTCAATAAGACTCGCCTTTCTTCGCTTATATAAGTTTGTCTATCTGTCTATCCGTTTGTATGTGTGACGATTGTCTATGCACTTTATGCTTAACTTAAGAGTCACTGTTTTTACACTGACGTACACTGCCATGCTTTGGTCCAAGTATGAACGCTATTGAAGGCGAACATGTTTACGACAGCGCCGCATATTGAAAAAGTTTTTCTACCAAAAAAGAAAAAAAAAATTTGCAATATCTCGACAAAAAAATCGGTGTGTAACAGTTTTCCAAATTTCCAAAATTTCCCCTTCCATATGCTCTTTCGTATGAGAAGCAAGCCTTTTATGTGGGAGCAAAAAATATAATTTGAAATATTTTATGATGAAAATTGATCCATAATCAAATTTTGTCTATATTCTGGTCCCTCGCCTATATGTGTAAAGTCGGACAATACAGGGAAGCAAAGTACAATGTTTGGTATTCTATCGCTTTATATGACACAGACTGGTACAGACTGGCTTCACGTTCGATACATGGTTTTTAATTGTTTTTGCCTTACAACAATGTATTACGATCTTTGTTGATTATGAGTCTACGAGGACCATAAGTGGGCCTGTCCTTGAGAATGATGTTCGCACTAAAAGTTCTTTTCTTCCTCGATATAAGTTAGAGCCGAAGCATTGAGATTACATTGCGCATGTTGTTCATTACCGATCATTATCTGAGTCGACTGTTTAATTATTAAATGCCAGCTTTTGAAGCAATCTGTTATCTATCTTCACTTACGCTCTTCTGCTAATATAGGTCGAATTTCACTTGAAATAGTTCTATTGAAATTTTCTATAAAATATTGAGACCGATAGAGTTAATCCATGTTTTCGTTTATTCTTTGCATTATTTAATGCATTTCATGATTTTTGCAAAGGAAATGAGAGGAATGCCAATGTAATTGGAATTAAAAGAACATGTATTGGATATCGCATCTTCATATAGTACATAGTAGCGCGCATGCATTCAAGAGTCCATGAGGTAATAGTCTGAGTATTTTTTCTTTCTCCCTTTCCCTCTCTCTCTTTCGCACTCATTGTTTGTCGAAATAATTTATGAATGAATTTAGAAAATTATTGAGTTTTTTTTTTTTTTGTTTTTATTTGCATTTTATGTAAAAACATCATAAAATTTCAATTAAATGAAATCAGACACTAATTTCATACTTTAGAATCCATTCACACTTATATTTAGAATGCATTTCCATATCGTTTATAATCCATATAAGCCGGAAGACAATGTCGAAGAATTCATAACGCGCTATATGCAACCGAATCAAGCCCAACCAATAAGCAAATTTAATGTCTGTTCCTGTTCTAATGCGAATAATTATAATTTATTTATTAATGAGTTTCGCTTCATGAATATAACGATGAAACATGAGAGAAATCTTAATAAGGAAAACAAAAATAAAAAACAAAAAAAAAAAACAGAAAACAAAAAACAATTTAAGAAAAACGATACGTATTAAGCGTAATAAAGAGATATGCGTTAAATGCGCTATTAGATAAGAGTTCTAAATATTTCGGTTGCTTCCAGGTTCTAATATCCCAAGAGAGATAAATTATGTTGTAATGTTTGCTCCTATTGCCCAGCTTTATGTCAGGTGTACGAAATAATCTCTGATCGTGATATTGTCAGATCGAAAATAAATCATTGATTCAATGAGTTGTTAATTTGAGAGAGAGAGAGAGAGAGAGAGAGAGAGAGATGCCTGATGAATATGGCAGTGTGTCATGCGAGTCCTAGGCGGTTGGTAAGGTAAGGATGTAAACTACAACGTCACCTGTGAACGCTAGAGAAATCAACCTGCGTTGTCTTCACTATGCCTGTGGATTTCGTCTTTGCATTGCATTAATTGTTGCTGGCAGTATATTTTACCAATCGTTTCGTTAAGCCGGGGCAGTCCCAAGAATGTCGATGCCAAGGGTATTCGATATTCACAGTGCCTTTGCTACGCGCCATGACTTTTGCATTTCTATATTTCATGTCTTATAGCTTGAAAGGGAATTAGCTTTGCTTCGGCGAAGGCCCACGTTCCTCGCAAAGTCATTCAAAAAGAGCACAAGGGGTCCTTGAAATCGTGTCTAAATCTAGGTCGAAGAATGTATCAAAGACGAAATGTATCCTAATGTAATCCTAATGTTGGTTTCGTCTGTGTTTACCCCAGCGATTTCGATCACGAGGAAAACGATATAAGTAAGTAGCCTTGAGGTCAGCAATTCAGAAAAGAGCCTAATGATGAATGGCGATGGGTCCATATTTTCTTAGTAATCACTCGTTGAGTGAGTTTTAATTATATACATAACGCTTTCACACTTTCTGAGGGATTGCATTAACCCATGGCTGTCCGTGCCCGTTTGGGAATATAATTGATTTTTATTCACTACTCGCCAGGAAGGCGCATAAGATCTTTTCTCCAGTAAGATGTCATCCTATTATCTGCCCTTAGGGTCTCTTTGGAATCGGAAAGTAAATATATGTCGCGGAAGTTGATATTCCTCCATTGCACCTGTTTATATGCCCAATATGATAACTATTCTTAAGCTTGGCAACTCTTTAGCCGATTGCATGCAATAGAATAAACAAGTTCAAAAAAAAAAAAAAAAAAAAATTTTTTTGTGGGGGGAAAAAAAAAAAACAAAAAAAAAAAAAAAAAAAAAAAAAACTACATTACATGCTCTTAGAAACGCCAACAACAGTAACAATAACAACAACGATGACAACAACAATCATAACAACAACAAGAGATCGTGTGAAATTTTTGCTGTATGCATAAATGCCGGCTGGCTGGATGGCTAAGACTGTTGGGATAAATGAATGTGAATGGAGTTGAGATGACTGGTTATGGATATCAATGCATATCTTGATGCTGTAGAGTAATGGTTAAATGTGTGTGCACATTTACATATACATGCATATACATACATATTTGTGTATTTGTATTATGATTTGCTCACACTTTTGCTCATATTCGGTTAGTCAGTCTAACTTGAGGGCTATAATAAGACATTTTTTTATAGCTTGAAGGCAAAAAAGAAAACCAGAAGACAAATAATAAATAACTTGGCCAAATGACCTGTTAGAGTGTGCAGAACACGTTCACATGTATCGATGTGTGTTTGTCTGTATATTTTGTTTTTGATTTTTTCCTTTTTTTTTTTTTTTTCTTTGTACTTTAAAGGATTCGCTAGACAGAAATGTTTTTTGAAATTTAAAAAGTTTCTTTTGCTTTCATTCTAAGGAATTTCTTAAGAATCCCTAGTATGTCTAATTGACATATATATATATATATATATATATACTTATATTTATCTGTTCATACATTTAAGCCACTTATGCAGCGTATATGTGTACATGTGTATATGTATTTGTATGCGTATAGGCTCAGGATTTCTTAGCTTAAAAAGATTGGCAGTAAAAGCACGCTGAGAGAGCTTGCTCTCCCACTTCGCTTACATACGTCACGCGTCACGTTACATACACTAATACATTGAAATTAGCACAAATAAAACAAGATTGCTGATATATGACTTATATATGTCTAAATCTTAAAGCGGAAGCACTTATATGTTATATTTGTAACATATTTGCATCTACTCACATATATATATATATATATATATATATATCTAAGCATACATATGCATATAAGTCAGTGTTATTATATTCTAACTGTTGCGCGCGACTTCTGCTAACGTGTAGACCCTGCGCCAGTCATTATTTGTGTTCCCTCGTATCGTATCGCAGTCGCTTCTCAATATCTGCCCATGCATATACACACACATGTATGTGTATGTACTTGCGTCCCTATACTATAGAAGTTTTGTGTACTGGATGATGATCATGCATGTGTGCTGTGCCTTGCGATCGCGCTTCGAGCTTCATTTACTGTTCGTATTGATATTTATGGTCAGTTGCTGGCTGGCGCTCTTTCTCAACGGTTGTGTTCGATTTTGGAATACGGTTAATTAAGAAGATCACATTATCGAATGTATAGTGTATCCTTTGTGCAGCAATCATTCATATAAGAATTGATGTAAAAAATAAAAAAAAGAAGCAAATCCTTATCAAAGCAAAATCATTCTCCCTTAATATCGGTCGTTATAATGGATTACTTTTTACCAGTTTTCTGACCTCGAATCTAATAAGGATAATTAATTTAAAAGGAAAATCGCTAATGTTTGTTGCTTCTAATTTAAAATTTAAAAAAGATTATTGAAAAGTGCTTTGGTAAAAATTTATAGAAAAATTCCTCTTTTAAGTGGGTTTCTTAAAAAACAAAAAAAAAAAAAAACAAAAAACAAAAAAAAAAAAGATTTTCTTTCACTACCGCTTAAGGATATTAACAGGATCGATACGAGATTAAATATTTGAAGAGACAATTCAAAATGGAATTATCAAGGCGGTACCGGTAAGAATTTCCTTTAATTTGTGTTTTAATCAAAGAAACTTCATTGAAAAATATGATTGGAGAAAATGTACCTTTTTAAAAAAAATAAAAATGCTTTAAAGCTAGAATTAAAAAAAAAAAAATTTCTTTTATAAAAAGCAACAAGACATAAAGTAATGAGAGTACATTCATCTTGGGGAAAATTTATCGGTGCCTGTCACTTTGTATTGGTTGTATTGATAAAATGTGAAACTTCAATTGTCAATCGATATCTTATTCAAACCCTTTTTGTCTACGAATTAAAATAAATAAAACTGCATTGTGTATTGTAAACAGGTCGCTTATAGCTTCCACTTCCACCCATGGCCTGAATGAAGTTGAAGTTTTTCTTTGTACTATAGGGACCGTACTAGGGCATTGTGTATTTTTCCGAGGTTATTTTAGTTCTTAACTCATCACGCATGGCGCATGAAACATTACGCGTTGTGCTGTTTTGTTCATCTTCATCCATGAAGTTGAAGTTTTTCTTCCCATTAACAATAGATCAGAGACATACGAACAGACTGGCTGACATCGTACATAGATTAATTGGATTTTCGATTCAAGGGTAAGCAAATTAGCTGAGGAAAAGAAATTTTTAGGATAACAAGCGAAGAGTTAGTCGAGTTAAACAGAAATTATAAGTTAAATGTGTATTAATTAAAATTTTTAATGTATATGATATATTCGGACAAGCGAAAAACACAAATGTAGACCATATTTTCGAAGGAACTACATTTGAAAAGTCATTTTTTAAAATTATTAACTAAAATATTTAATGTCTATGATTTTTTCGGACAAGCGAAAAACGCAAATGTAGATCATATTTTTGATGGATCTACATTTGGATTTCTCAGCTATGTAGACCTCACTTTCAAAGGATGTATATTTGGATTTCTCGCTTGTCCGAGAATATCATATACATTAAAAATTTTAGTTAATAATTTTAAAAATGACTTTTCTCATAAGACTCGTATTAACAGTTTTGCAGAAGATATTTTTTCAAGATATTTCATTTAGTGTGGAGTTTTTGCTTCTTCATAAAAACATAAATTCAAGTAAAAGTAACTCATTTGTAGCAATAACGGTAAAAATTACGAAATATATACCAATTCTTTTCTAATATACTTTTATCGCTCCGTTTTATGGATTTTTTTTTAAAATAATTTCTTGCAAAAACTTTCCGGAATTAGAGGAAAAAACTAAATTATGTTCTCATTAAGATCTAATCGGATTTTTATAGGTTTTTTTTTTATATTTTTTCTTACTCTAACAAAGATGAATTGAGCATTAAATCTAATATAAACTGTACTTGTTTTTACTTGTGCATGGCCGTCTGTCTGCTTTAACTGCCAAAGCTAACCACAACCTAATTTTAGCATTTCTTTACAACTACAAAAATTTATTAACCAAAAAAAAAAAAAAATAAAATAGTAGAATTATAGAAAGAAGTTACTTTCGGCATAGATCGAATCTTCTTAGTCCTATATCTTTTTGTATATTGATCTTTTTTATCAAAATAAGGAACATTTTTCAATAATAAGTTATGATAATTATATCGTACGACCTACTTTTTATGAGAACATGATAAATAGGTTTCATTTGGATGCGTACAGCATTCAGAAGTATATTAAATAGGAGATTGCATTTGAAGCGATAAAATGAAAAATAAATTATATTTGATATATGATATTTAATTGGATATATAATATATTTCGATCTTTTTGCACATACATTTTAATATCCGTATTTTGAGCAACACTACGCAAACAGTATCAAGTCGTAATGCGTTTTTCTATTCATATTTTCTATTCTATTTGTTGGACTTCAGCAGCCTTGTCTTATAAATAAGTCGATATCGAAAAAATTTTCTTACAACTGCTCGTTCGGAAGACCCAATGTTGGCACAAAATTAAAGCAATTACAACAACAATTCACATTAATTGATTAGTAACCGATCACAAGTGATGGGTGATTTCAATTAATTTTAAATAGAAATAAGAAAAAAATCAAACAATGATCTAAGAGAGTAGGAAAAATTTGGAAATGAAGTTTGTATCTGTATGCAAGGTCGACGAAATGACAATAGCGACGAGACGACGAGAAGACCAATAGACAACACGATTATGATGTAATCAATTTCGTAAATCGCACCACGTTCATCCCCAACGTAGCAAACGGAAGCGTGTGACAAATGTAGCATGCCTCCCGTGGTGATTATGAAAACGGTCACTTAATAAAATAATTATAAACATCTTCGGGTTTAACTTTAATGAACGCTAAAATAAATAAATAAAAAAAAAAAAAACAAATCTCTTTAAGTGGTACAAAACACAATAACAATACAAATTAATTAAAATGTTGCTGTTGAGAGGCGCACAGAACGTAAAGTTCAAGACACATAATAGTTTTCCTATTTATTTACTTATTGTTTTCTTTTTTTTTTTTTTTTTTTTTTTGGATTGTCTTTATCATTACTTAAAGTTATGGACAGCATAGAGTCGAGTCAAGTCGAGTCGAGTCGAGTGTTAAGCTGCAAACAGATATTCAAGTACATTTGATAAGTAATTTTCTTCTCCTTCTACTCGAGTTTCTTTAGCAAAGAAAAGCAAAGAAAAAATAAAAAAAAGCAAAGTGAAACAAAGTGTTGATGTTTATGTTATGTTTAATTTGTTCTTCCTATGTAAATGGCGTTAACAATGTAAAAGAAGTAAAGTGGGAAATTATAGATTAAGTTTTGATCGAATTTTCTGATTGCCATGACTTGACAGAATTTATTAATATTTTTTTTTTTCCTTTTCTGCATGCTAAGCGGAATTTATTAGTCTAGAACAAAATGTCTTATTAAATGGAAAGCCATATATAATATTTAATAGTAGGATACTTAATAAGAGGAAGCATAAAATTCAATGGGTGCAATATGGCTGATAAGGTTGTGCCACTCAGTGTACTGTATCGAAGAAGCCGCAAGAACATAGCACCATATGTGCGGATACCTAACGCGTCCCAAAAACCAATCCCAGCACAATAAGGTAATCAAAGATATCGGTCATAAAATAAAGCGCACAATATATTGTTTTTAAAACTCAATTGCTTTAGCGATTGCCGGTTCGCTTTATAGAGCTCATGTCCGGAAAAATTGAGGGATGAAACATTTAAATTGTTATTATTGATGATTAGTAGTAATATTAGTAAACTGAATTATAATAGTAATTAGAATAAGAATAATAATATGATAATAATATTAGAATATATAAGAATGATAATGATTTAGATGATTATTATTATTATTACAAATATTAATAATAATATATTTTTTATTAATATTAAAAATTATTAAAAATAATAATAATTATAATAATAACAATAATATTATAATAAAAAATATATAACATTTATATAAATAAAATAAAAATAATAATCCAAAAAAATAATAATGATCGCATGTAGGTATATATATATATATAGTTATATATACATATATATATAATAATAATATTTATACAATATAAATATAATAAGTTATGTAATATGGATGTAATAATATATTATTAATATTGTAATAAGTACTCTATATATATATATGTATACTAATATATTCATATATATAATAACATATATCTAACATGTTTTTCTATATATTGGGATAGTGACTAATTTACGCAAAGAGGTACATCGTACTGGATAAGAACTTGGGCCTTCCATATGAAAGTAAACTAACTTTCGGCTTTACGTCACATAAGAACGTATTTTGAATGACTCGCTGAATGTTGCATTTTGTTTTTCTTCTGACGTTGCAAAGGGAATGATAAAATAAATATGCTTTTATCTTACAAATACAAGAATACTACTAAGGAATTTCCATGGAAATCATTTATTAATTTCGTTGTTTTGAAAGCATTACAGCGTAAAGTTACTTTAGTGATAATAAGCCTTATATTGCACCGCTTCATTGACTAACTGTTGCAGATAAGTTCTGGCCTTTGGTCTATGCGTACTTTTACTCAGATGTCTCAGAAGTTTGTTTATTTTCCTTTCGTAAAATTAAATTTTTTTTTTCTCCATATTTCCATATAACACCTAATAAAACAGAATTGTTTCCCGGGGGGGGAGGGGGAGGGAGGGATAATCGCTTTTGTCCAATTGCGAAGAATTTGTTTGCCTTAATGGTCGGTTTGCTTATCTGTGACCTGTGTGTTAATAATTAATTAATTCACTCATTCATTATTCATTACAATGTAAACTTTTTTTACAATTTGTTAGAATGTTGTTGTTGGTGTTATTGCCATTGTATTATTGCTGGTTATGTTAATTTACAACATAATTTATAGACATGCGGTTTTCTCCTTTTGTTTTTCTTCTTCTTCGCGTCTCACAATAAATGCTCTATATAAGGCATGTGCTGTGTGCGTAGACTAAGCAGTGTTTGCTTATTATTGCAATTATAGGCTCGGACATGTTATTATAGCGTGATGGTAGTGATTTTCAAGTTTTCTTCTATATTTGCGGCCAATGCCAATTATTCTCAAGTGCGTTTTTCCTTTGCATTTTTTTCTAATATTTTTTTTTTGCCATATTAACGCGTCAATGATTAGAAAAACAATTGCAAATTACAATATATGCACACAATTTAATGTTAATTTATGGAATGCGTTAACGTTTCATTCGGATATATATATATATATATATGTGAAAGCAGATACGCGAATACATAAGTTGCGAGGAAATGCTAAGAATAATCCATAATCTTGTTCTATATATACACTGAAGAAAAAACAATTTTTTTTTACCAAAATCTGTGTGAAATCTGTCTAAAATTAATAATAAAAAAAAAAAAAAAAAAAAAAATGAAGTCTTATTTTGAAACACTTAAATTCTATTCAGATAATTTCCATCATTGCACTTTGATATGGATCCGCAACAGAGCTGAACTAAATTTTGCAATTATGGCAACACATACTACTAAAGAATTGTAAGCTACA